AAGAGCAATACCATACATAAGCTAGTGGTTTAAACATTAGAGGGGAAACCACAGAAAGCATTTACATGGACCAGTTTCTTTGTGGAAATGGCAAAACATGAAAAGCACCCACAACTAAATAGTATGTTGCCATCAAGGCACAAACCCTGTATAACAAAAAAACTACAAAAGGAGCAAAGAACATGTGACTATAGAAAATAATAGTGTAAAAAGCAGTATATAAACTGGCCCATGTAAAATACAAAAATATTCACTGAAGTCAATTTTCTATAAAACAGTGTTTATCAGAGGTATTTTAATATCAATTTGATATATACTCTAAATGTAGAAACTTTTAGAAACGTTAACAGCATTAAGCCGGTGTGACCACTTGTGCTTCCAATGTTTACTTTTTTAAAAAAAGCTGCTTCGTTTTCACTCAAGAAATAGCTAAGGCCCACATTCTTAAAAGCATTATCCATTCTTATAAGATTAACAATTTTACAGTAAAAGTTTAAATAAAATATTTTTTAAAAATCAATTTATATTTAGTCTTTAAGAAGTGCTTTAAGCTGGCAGTGCAGCTCTATGTAGCTCTCTGAGAGGGGCTAGTCAGGAATCTGATTCTGAGCCACTAAGGTCTGTAGGCTGAACAGACAAAATATTGATCACACTCCAATATAACTCAAAAGACAGTTACAGACATATACATGTTAGCATGCAATTGTCTATATATGTGTGCATACGTGTGCGTGTGTGCACGCGCATGCATGCTTGTATCGATGCATTCAACATTTGTATTTTGGAACCCTGATAGTTCCTCATTTTCTAGTGAATGGGAAGCATATAATCTGCTATCTCCAAATAACCACAGGAATCTTCCACTTACAGGTACATATTAATATTTTTTAGGAGAACTTGCTCAGTCTGACCAATATTTATATGCATAAGAAAAGATCTAGAAACTACAAGAAATACTCATATGTTAATAATGAACCTGAAGTATTTTCTTTTCTTGTATAAAACATGGGGTGGTACACAACAAATGGACAACTGGTGCATCTCTCAGAGCACAGAACTAAATACGAAGTACATGAATTAATGATTCCACCATAACAAAAAAGTGTAAGTTTTGATTAGCACAGAGCCATTTAAATGTAAAGGCCAAATTAATAAATTGTTTAGCAATCAATGCCAACTAGAAGCCATTAACTTTTTAATGGACTAAGATCAAAATGTTGAGTTAAGTGTGAGTTATTTTCTACACATAAATGCACTTCTTTATCTAAGTTCTAGGACAGACTGGCATTTTTTTAAGAAAAATAAAGCATAAACTATGTTATCATCAACAAGGAAGACTTGAAGGTTAAAGAGAAATCTTCATTAATTTTAGTGCAGCATGTTGAGGCCAATTTATGGGTACACAGGAGTAATGATGCCCTCAGTTGGCACGGCCTAGCAATTATCTCTAAAGCACCTAAAAAACAGATTGAAATGCCCAGCTGGGCTAGTCTTCTGTCTTGCAATTTAAAAGACTGACATGTCCAGTTTTTTAAAAAAAGGATAAAGCAAGAGTAACACCTGTTCTAAAATTTAAAAGGCTTTTTTTAATCTTTTGTCAATATGGCCACACTAAACACAAATGTACTGAAAAGCATGAGAAAAACATTCACTGGTTAAAAAAAAACCATATTACTAAGCCCTGTGCAAATCTACTAACATCTCCCTCATTGGTCAAATATGCAGCAATGCCAAAGTAGCTAAGTTAACCTGCAAACAAAAATCACAATAAAATGCAATATAAGCAAGTACAAATCCACTGGAAAACGTTGCCCTAACTCAACCTCATGCAGGGACATTTTTTTCAAAAACGTTTTTTCTTAAACTGTGTACTTCTAGCCATACTATTTAAATGAAACTGATAAATTGCTAATTCAAAGCAGTAAAATAGAATCTCTAATCTAGAAAATACTAATTCAAGGCAGTAAAATAGCATCTCTACTTCAGATGTTGTGCACATATGCTTTGCTATGGAAATAATAACTTTAAATTTCTTGGTTTCAGAAACCAAAAATCACACGGCTAATTTATAGCTTATAGGTTGTTTTATTTTTCTTCTTTTTTCAATGCTTTAGTTTAAATTAGAAATCTCCCGAACAATCCATTCTAAGAGCAGGAAAGACTGCAACTAAATGTACATTAAACTGAATAGTAATGCATGTTGGAACTTGTACTTGCTTCATTATTTTGCAACAGATCACATAGGGACTAGTGTTACAGAGTTTGATATCCAGCATAACTTTTTCTTCTGCCAATTAGGTAAGCAATCACTATAACGATAATCAAGCCTGAAAGACCAGCACCAACTATAATTGGAATTAGAATGGTGTCATCATCCAGCGAACACTCCTGGGCTGTAGATGAAAAAAAGTGTGTAACAAATAATGAGTATAATCAAAATGAATGTCCAAAAGTAAAAGATGTTGATTCAAATGTCAGAAATGCTCTTACAAAATCAATTTCAACTAAGACAGGTATATTTTTTAATAAAGTTAATGAAAACTATGGACTATTCTAAAGTTAAAACCTTAAAATGTATTTGTCCTTTCATTTATATCAGTAAACAATACTGTCTCATATGTCATAAAATAAACATATATGTATCTATGTTTGTGTGTTCATATTCCAAGATCTTTCCAAATTGGAGTAATTGCTTCACCAGAGATGAAGACAGCTACTGTAGGCCATTTACGCGCAGCCAGATTAGCTTCCCTGAGGTAGAGTGAATGCCTTTGGGGAAACTGGGGACAGCAGCGGATAAAGGGATCAGAACAGCGAGGCTGGCTCTGGAGTTCCTTTCCAGTAGGGGTCAGCAAACTACAGGCCAAATCTGACCAAAGAACTACAAACTGCATTAGTAAAATTGTATTTATAATTTTAAATAACTGAAGATTAAAAATAAAAGGAGAGTATTTTGTGACACATGAGTTACATGAAATTCAAATTTGAATATCCATAAAGACAGTTCTATTGGAACACACTCATATTTGTCTATTTATGTACTACTTATAGCTGTCCCTGTATATCTAAACAGTTGTGACAGAAGTCATATTGGTCCCAAAGTCAAAAAAATCAGTTGCTGTCTGGATCTTCTGGGGAAAAAAAATTACAGATCCCTAACTTAAAATACATGACTTTAGTAGTCATAAGAGTCAAAAAATTGGAACCTTTTACTAATTTAAGCATGCTTACTAAATTTCTCATTAGTCTGGTCCCGGCTAACAGCCTGTGGGAATGATTTTCTGTTTCTCGAGAGCACTCTGATCCAGTAAAATATCAATATCATTCTACCTTACTGTAAGTATATTTCTTCAACTTATAAACTCAAATATTACTGTGTATTGTATGTATAGGTACCAGAGCCAAGAACCTACTTCAAGAAATACACATGCATTTGATATTAGCATTAAATGTTGTATGCCTCTTTGTAGGACATTTTAAATTCTACACACATATAAACCAAAGTTTCATATTAGACAAAGAGCACAACTCAACAGTAGCAGCTGACTAGATAAATACGCCTGCATGGGTGATAATATTGCACATGACTTTAAATTCTAAACATAAATCTGGACCTAAAATTAGAATGATGTAGGGGAGCTAGATAAAGACTCTAAAAATAAAGCTATTAAAAGATCAACATAATTGAAGTACATAAGCAAAACTAACAAAAGAGAAAATTAATTCTTAAAAATACTTTTAAATGTACAATTAACCTCTTTACATCACAAGAATGGAAGGATAAGAGCCTGGTTTATTTTGGCCTAACCAAGTCAGACTAGGTGCTAAGCACCACCACAGAAACAGCCAAATGGCTCGCAGTGTATTTACTTTTAAACACAGCTGCTACATTTCCTTTGAAAACACAGAATGAAGTGTTAAAAAGATGTGGATGCTGAAATGGCTCTGCTCAGCAAAGCTTGTGCTCTACAAACCTCCAATTTTAAGTAACTAGAAAGACAACTCACCTAAAGAATTTGCTATACCTTTTTTTCCTTCATGAAAATTTCAATCTTGCAGTGCTAAACATCTCTCTTTCTTATTCACAAGAACATATGAGACTTTCACAAGGGTTTCATTTAAAAAATCTGATGTTACCATTAGCTCTGAGTAGATCTTTATTTTAATTTTTCTTTTTGGGGGGGATATTGTTTTTTATGAAACAGGGGTTCACTATGCATGCAATTCAGGCTGGCCTTGAACTCAGTGTGCCCTAGGCTGGCCTTGAACTCACAGCAATCCTCCTGCCTCAGCCTCCCAAGTGCTGGGATTACAGGCATGCGCTACTATGCCCGGCAACCCTGAAAAGGTCTTCAAAAAGCCCCATCTGCACTAGCATGTGATTTGAGGAATCTCTAGATCATTTTTGCTGGTAAAAACATAATTTATAATACCTGAGGCTTTGCTCCTGATTTCTGGCTTGTGTCTCAACAAAGTTAAACCAAATCATTTTCACTCAGGTATGAAAATATTTCTAGAAAGATAGAGCCATCAAGCATGGTGGTGCACACCATTAATACCAGCACTTGGAAGGCTGAGGAAGGATTGTTGCGAGTTCAAAACCAGCCTGGGCTTCACAGTGAGCTCAAGGCCAGCCTGAACTGTATAGCAAGACCCTGTCTCAAAAAGACAAAAAAAAATATGGACCAAATAAGCCAGATGTAAGATGTTCAAATGATCATCTGTTTCCCAAAAACTTATACCTAGGAGAAGCACCTACACTTTATGTGAGCTCACCTGACCCTGAAGTTGTTTTATAGATCACAGCAACAACTGGAGTGAGCAAAAAAGGGTGAGCTAGAGTTACACTACTCAATCAAGGCTGTGAGAACTCTGTCAGAGTCAAGGGGTGAATTTTTATTTCTCTATTTCAATGTCTAAATTTCCATGACTCAAAGAAAAAGCCATGTACTGGTCAATGTAAAAACACAAGTTATTAATAAAGTTTACTTGAGTCTTACCTGTAGAAAATACTCCTTCCTTCACTTTGAAAGGCTGAACTCTTAGGCCAAAGGTATTTATCTGAAATTTCCCAGACACTGAAACAGTCTGCTCCTTGTTGCACATATAAGAACTTCCCAGGGGGGCATCCCAGTAGCTAAGGTTTTCATTTGAAAAACTGAAAACTTGACAGAAAATAAAACCATGTTAGTAATTTCTCATCCCATCAACATCCAAATAGGACAGTCTTTGTCAATTCCTGTTTTGTTTTCCATTCACACTGAGCTGTATAACCAACCCTATTTTTTTTCATTTTGAGACAAAATCTTGTTAAGTCATTAAGATGCCCGCTTATCAGGCTGGTTCCCTTGCCTTTCTTTTTTTATTTCCCTTGCCTTTCTATAAATGTTTCTACAGTATAAAAATCACTCACATCCTCATCTATTATCTACCATGATACTGCAAAAAATAGAAAGCTATAATTGTTTTTATTTCCTTTTTTTAGTGGTACTGCAGACTGAACTCAGGGGCACTCTATCCCTGACCTACATGCTCAGCCTTTTTTATTTTGAGATAGGGCCTCCTTAAGTTCCCCAGGCTGGCCTCAAACTTGTTATTCTCCTGCCTTAGCCTCCTGAGTAACTGAGACTATAAATACAGTTACCACCACACCCAGCTCCCATAGTTCTAAATTACAGATGAAGCTATAGTCAAGGCATATGTTTTACATAGCACCTTCTGTCCCATTAAATAAGGCACTGATTGGTAATAAGACAATTACAGTTTCTAATTCTTCAATATAACCCACTCTTCTCCCCCAGGTCAGTGCTTTGCTTACCAGAGCCATTTGTCAAACTTATGTTGGCATTCACTTCCTTCAGATAGAATCGGTTTTCATTTTTCTGTTAGAAAAAGAGATTTCAATTAATTGACATATTGCAATTGTCCACAGGTACAGTAAATATCTACAGAAGAAATACAATCTAGTATTATTACCCAGAAGAGCAAACCATGGATTAGGCCTAGACCAGTTAAATACTGCAAGTAAGTAAAAGAACTTCAAGTGTGACAAAGCCTTTTTCCTCTGCATTTTGCTTCAGAGCTGTGGTTCCTAAATACTCAGTGATACACACCCTTGACTTCAACCCTCCTGTCACTTCCTGTGGCCACAACACCTCTGGCCTGGCTCACAACAGCCTTGCAACTAGGCTCGGCTCCAAGCCTTGAGCCCTCCAGCTCTGCTCTTTCCTTTTCACTGTTATCTCTTTTGTTTACTCAATGTAGTGAATTATTTTTCTTGTTGCAATCACTCTCTTAATTTATTGTTTTATTTCTTTATTGTAGCGCTGGGTATCCCTGGGCCTCGTACATACCATACTAAGCAAGTACTCTATCAATGAAACTTATTGCATCCCATGTTCATATTTTTCTATCAACATGTAATAAGTGCTATGTATCAGTGGGGTTCAGTGTACATATTTCAACAAATGCATACAGGGTACATTGATCAAATCAAGATAATTTTGATTTCACTCTCATTATTGTTTTTATTATTTGAGGTACTTGGGATTGAGCCCAGGACATTGCACCTTCAGGCAAATACTCCAGAGCTGAGTTACACCCTTTCTATTATTTCTTTTTATTCTGAAAGAGGGTCTTGTTAAGTTGTCCAAACTGGCCCCAAACTTTTGATCCTCCTGTCTCATTTTTTTAGTTTTGGCGGGTTTTTTTGTTTTTTGTTGTTTGTTTCTTTTGACAAGGTCTTGCTTTGTACATCAGGCTGGCTTTGAACTCACTCTGTAGCACAGCCAGGCCTCAAACTTAAGACCATCTTCCTGTCTCAGCCTTCTGAGTGCTGGAATTACAGGCATGCGACATTATGCCTGGGTCTCCTTACCATCTGTTTGGAGACTTCAAATTTGTCTCTTCAACTTCTTCATAAAATAATCATTGTGAACTATGGTCATCCCCTTGTATTGTGGAATACCAGAACTTATGTGATTTGGTACCCATTATATGACCTCCCAGGTATAGCTTGTGTCTGGATGTCCCCACAAAGCCTGATGTAGTCATAGGTGGGCCTTTTTCAGTGATGGCTAAATCTATAGAGTGTGTAACTGATTCATGGTACAGTGCTAGGATTAAGGGTGGTGATTACTCAATTAGTCCACTGATTGGATTGGCACTGCCCTATTCCTGGCAGCCTGACTTATCCTTTCCTTTCCTTGCTTACTTTTGCTGTCTTCTGCTTGCCATGAACTAGCTCTCTTCTGTGATGTCCCTCTGTCAAGCCATCCTGACCTGGATCCAGCTGGTTATAGACTGAAACCTCTAGAAACTGTGAGCTACAATACACCTTTCCCCCTTTAACTTTGGGTGTTGGGTATTTTATCTTAGCAATGAGAGAACGGTAACTAAGACACTCAGTCGACCTGCTTTCCACTCCCTGCTATTATTTTTTAGAAGTATTCAACCCATCTGCCAATCATTCTAATTGTTTGCATGCTCAGCACACACAAGGTAACAAGTCTACATGATGTAGGAGAGAACAAAATGAGCCAGACTTGAATCCTACCCCTGGAATATTTGCAACCTACCAGGGAAGATAAAAATACTAACAATCATATAACCCCCAAAAAAGTGGCAGTCAAGTGTGGTGGTGCATGCCTATAATTTTAGCACTCCAGGAGGCTGGGGCAGGAGGATCAAAGCCACCCTGAACTACAAAGTGAGTTCAGGACCTGCTTAAACTATATAGTGAAATGCTATCTCTAAAAGAAAAAAACAGTGGCAGCCTGTATAACTCCAGCAATTATGAGGCTGAGGCAGGAGGACTGCTGCTAGTTCAAGGCCAACCTGGGTTATACAGTGTGTTCAAGGCCAGCCTGAACTGCATAGCAAGACCCTGTCTCAAAAACCCAAAAAGGAAAAAAAGAAAAAGAAAGTTGCAAGCTATAAATATTGATAGAAAAGAAATTATTTCCAGTTAGAGAAGGAGCAAAGTAATGCCAGGCTAGGGATAGTGCCCTTGGATGAGGCAGGATTTGGGTAGGAAATAAACAGAAAGGCTAGGACATGAGAAAAGGTAGTCAAGAAATAAACAATCCCACGTATGCCAGCACTTGAGAACTTCCTAAATGCCAACCACCATCCTCCAATCTTTAGGTAAAGGATTCATTCAATAATTACAATAACCTACACTAAGATGTCAGCATCTCCATTTTGAGGTGGCATTCTCAGCCAGTGACATTAAAGGACCGCTCCCTCAGCTACAGGATTAGGAGTCAGTGAACTGGTATTCAAGCCCCGAGAGGTGGGCTGCAGAGCCCTGAACCAATTATTACTGTGCTCTGCTACATCACAAGATGCGTACAGTGGGCAGAGGGACAATGACCGCAGCATAACATCATGGAGAGTGAGCAAAGCAATGAGGCTGCAATCACAGGATGCATCACATGGGGCACAGGGTCCTGCACTACCCCGTGTGAAGTTTAGACGTCAACTTATTTACTGGTAGAATAACCTCTGAGGATTGCTGAGGAAGAGCTGAACTTCTGGAAGATTAAACTGAGGGAGATGAGGAGGTGAGATGAGGTAGGAATCTACTGCAGCCAGAACAAAAGCAGAGGGTAATGAAAAAGAGGGGCAGATGCAAGGCAGATCGCAGGGGAAGCACAACGGAGGCCTTTCTGGCCTTTTTCCATTCCTCCTGTGCTGAGGCAATGTTTTGCCTTGGCATCTGAGGCTCTCCACAGCTGGTCCCAAATCCAGCCCCACACTTCCTCCAACCGTGATGCATGGTTTCTTCTCCAGCTCGTTCTGAACACATTCCTTTCTCCAAGGGCAGCCTGTACTCTTCCACGTATTCCCCTTATCTCTGTATGTACAAATCTGACCTGTCCTCAAAGGCCCCTGTCAAATGCCATCTCTTCCAAACCTTCCTGGCTCCCTCTCTCCTGCTGTCCCACAGCTCTGCCCACACCTTCCCCAGCAGCCTCCTGCCCACAAAAACAAATACAAAAGCATGAGTATGGCAGTCATTTGGTCCTTGCACCAAAGTAGCTATTGTGAGCTAGGCACAGTGGCTCACACCTGTAACCCCAGCACTTGGGAGACAGAGGCAGGAGGATCGCTGTGAGTACCAGACCAGCTTGGGCTACAAAGTGAGCTTAAGACCAGCCTGGACTTCACAGCAAGACACTGTTTCAAAAAGCCCAAAAAAAAGGTCAAAATATTGATTGTTGCATGTTTCTATCTTACCACTAAGGTCCAGGCTCCTTAAGGACACAAGTTCCTTTCCTTATATCCCACCACAGTGACCTGAAGATGGCACACTCAAATGCTAGAAATTCTCCTTCCTAAGGATCATGTATGTATCAGGACAGGGTGAAACTGATGAGGATCCCGACTCTTGTGACATTGTGGGTGGTTCCTGATTTTCCAAACTGCCTATAACATGGTTAAAATATCACTAATCAGGGATTATGTTCTTAAATAGCCCAGTAAGCAAAATAAATATTGTAATTGTTAATATTCAACATTTTTCCATGAGAGTTGAAGAAGCCACGTTCCATTTCAGAGCCTACCACAGTCCACCACTCAAAAGGAAGTACTACCTCCCTCATTTTTTTTCTTTTCAAAGTTTTATTGATAAACATATAGCAATGAGACAGTTTCAAATCAAATCGAAAGTACAGTTTCAACAAATATACCTCCCTCATTTTTACTGACCATAATTCCTATGTGATTACTTAAAAGAGAATATGTCTACAAAGGCCTGCTCTAATGTAAATAAAAGGACAAGCTTTTTTGTTTTGAAAAGCTTTTTCCTTTTTATATAATATACAGGGCAAGGAACCCAGGGTCTCATAAATACTATAGAGCTTTTCCACTGAGCTGTATCCCCTGCCTAAAGAAGACAAGTTTTTTGTGGTTTGTTTGTTTCAGACGACAAGGTCTCACTATGTAGTTTGAGGCCTTAAGTTCAGTATGTATCTTACAATGGCCTCAAACTCACAGTGATCCTCCTGCCTCAGCCCTGAGTGCTGGGATTACAGACATGCGCCACCACCACATTTAGCTAAGAAGACATTTAATTACACATTTTTACAACCTTTTAGTGGCACTCAGAATGAAACTTGGGTCCTCCCATGTGCTAGGCAAAAACTCTACCACTGAGCCGTACCCTTAGCCTAAATGGACATTTGAAATAGTAATTCACTGAGCATATATGAAATACAACAGAGGAACTGTCTGGATGCTGAGAAAAGGAAGATGTTTATAAACCTTTCTAAAATGTAATTGTGTAATATAATCCTCAGTTACTCAATATATACTCTATATGGAAAGATTCAGTTGGGGCCACGGAGATGGCTCAGTAGAATAAGTGCTTCCCTGGCAAGCACAAGGGCCTGAGCTCTATCCCTGGTTCCACAAAAATAAATAAATAAATAAATAAATATTTAGTCAAGGTACAAGTTTAGATATGAAATCACAGCATACCTACCTTTTACAAATCAGCATACCTACCTTTTACATATAGTTAAAACTATATCATCTCTAAATAAAATAATCTGATTTAAAAGCAGAACTGGGGGCTGTGGAGATGGTTCAGTGGAATAAGCACTTCCCTGGCAAGTGCAAAGGCGTGAGTTCAATCCCCGGTTCCGCCAAAAATAAATAAATAAATAAATAAATAAATAAATAAATAAATAAATGCAGAACTGGTTCTTGTCCAATGGCACAGAAATTCTTAGCTGGAAAACTGGTACTCAACATTTTCTCTCCCCTATATCTACCCCCATTCCTCATTCCCATCTGCTGTAATATGTACACACATTTCACCTTACAAAAATGCATAAAGATAATAAATGTTCCCAAGAAGGTAGAAGCAAGGTCCCAAGTGATTAAGTTTTACTAACAAGAAGTAGAAAAGGTATGCTTTAACCTGTAATCGTGTTTAGAGTTCAGCTCTTACCACAAACATGAACAAAAATATGGATTTTGACACTATAAATACCCTAATTTAATAAATTAATACAAGTACTTACAGAGCCTTGTATATAGTAAGCATAATCATCCCTCTGTATTCTTCTTCCCCTTTTGGGGGGTGTTGGAACAAGGTCTCACCATGTAGTTCAGGCTGGCCTTGAACCATGTTGCCTAGGCTGGCCTTGAACTCATGGTGATCCTCTTGCCTCAGCTTCTGATGGTCTGGGACTACAGGCATGTGCAACCATACCTGGCTTCCTTCATATTTTTGATTCAAAGCTGTCTGAATCCATGGATGCAGAAACCACAGATACATAGTGACAAATGTTCTCAGTAAATGTTAGCTACTATTATACTAATACAAACAGTATTATCTATAGAAAGACTAAAATTACTATACTAAACAAACATGAGAGCCATCTACCCAGTAAGAGAAAACTATCCCAGAGATTTCTTCCCTGTAGAGATGCCACACAGGTAGCTCCTTAATGCCATTCTTACCCCTAACCTAGCGTCCACCTGACGGCAGAACAGCCACCGTTGACGGATATTACTAAAGGGATCCAGCCCACAGACACACAACAGTCTGAGAAATGAGCAGGGATTGGTAGACTATACTTTTCTAAGTAGTCTGTAATGAAAACTGAAGCTAACCCCCACCACACACACACTAGAATTTCAGGTATGTCTTTCCAAGAATGCATATAATGTTTAGAAAAATCTGTTACTCACCACAGCAAAGACAAAGTCAAGATACTTAACGACACTGTTGTTCAGCCTGAGCTGAGCTCTCTTGGGCTGGCAGCTGCCAGTGAAGCCAGTTGTGTTGGGGTTGATGTTAATAACTGAAGCAACCTGCAGGGGAAGAAGACAGGGAAAGTACAGATTCACTACGTGAGCTGACAGCAAAGCCTTATACTCTAATAAGGTCAACTTCAATGCAGAACAAAAACTGCTTTGTTGAGAAACTTAAATTCATGGCCTCTTACTTTCAAACCAACTTGGCATGAGCCCTCAAGCTATGACTAAGACGACTTGAAAAACAACAACAACAAGAAGAAAGCTTCCTCGGGAATGAGCCAATTGAAAATACACATTTTTACAGAGCACAAGAGCCATCTGTCTGGCTTGTTTCAGTCTCAGGATCTTAGAAATGCAATTTAGTCGCTGGCACGCCCTCTGGAGCCCCAGCAGAGCACTGCAAGTAGAAGGGCCATGGTGGAGGAGAGCAGGTCTCTGTGCCTGAGTCATCAAACAGCCACAGACACAGATCTATGCTGCTCATGTACAGCAGCCTACAGTTCATTTCAGGTTAAAGTGTGTGAAAAGATCAAAGTGAAGGCCTTAAGTGTGCTAGGCAAATGTTTACCACCGAGTTTCATCCCCAGCCCAGGAACTGTGTTTTCTACAGCCTGAATAGAATGAAGCTCAACCACATATACTATGTTTCTACTGAAAGCAAACAGAATCTAAACCCCAAAGAGTCCTTTCAATACTAGGTTTTATCCTAGCTGAAACAACACCCTGCCTGTGACATTAAGTCGTTGTGGTTCTCCTAATTCCAACCTCCCCAAACTAATCAAAATTCAGTATGTCAACATCTAATCTCCACTTTATGGTGGAATCATGGTGGCAATGCTGCTGTTCGATGCAAACCAGGATATACAATACCTGGCAAAAATGCAAAAGGTATGTGTGGGTGAACATGGATAAGCGTACCTTGGGGCTGGTGAGATGGCTCAGTGGTCTAAAGCACCTACTTAGAACAAGCTTAGCTAAAGCACAGGGACCACGGTTCAATCCCCCAGCACCACATGCCAGCCAGCCCCGCCCCCTGGTGGGCTGTGCTGGCCACACACACACACACACACACACACACACACACACAGACACATAAATAAATAAATAAATAAATAAGCATACCTTATCATGAGTGATATTCAGCTGTAGCCCCATGGTGGCCAGCAGGCATGTGCTGTTGCCCTCACCCACTGAATAGTTTCCAACTTCTGGCTTCTCCACAGGAGGGGATGTTGTAGTGGGAGAGGGCACAGTGGTGTGAATGACAGGTGGAACTGTAGTGGAACTTCTGTCTTCCTCACATACAAACTCTAAAACAACCAAAGGACAAAATAAATGAAGGTGTTATTATTCTCAATTCTTAGGCCAGGGAAGAGCAAATTATTTTTCACAATAGAAATTCAAAAAGGCTCATTAGGAGAAAAGGAGTATCCTCTTAATATATTTTAAGCTAAATGAGACACAAGTTACTAAACTGCTGCTTCATATCCAGTCTCTATGACACAGCAGACATGTTCAAGACACATACATCCAAAGGTTTATCTCGCACACATGGCCAAATTCATTAAATACCTTTATTCCAAAAAATTCTACTTGTCCCTGATGTGAAATTTAGAGACTTAAATCTGAAACCATTTAACCCCTATGTTATCCACTTTCTTCCTTCCCACACACAACCAGCATAAGGACACTGTTCACTAGAATAATAGTTCAAAAATTGTTTAGGATTTGTTTGTTTTTTGACACAGGATCTCATTATATACTGCAGGCTGGCCTTGAACTCACTTATATAGCCCAACTGGTCTCAAATTCATGGTGATCGGGGCTGGAGAGACGGCTCAGTGGTCTAAAGCACCTACTTGGAACAAGCTTGGCAAAGCGCAGGGACCGTGGTTCGATCCCCCAGCACCATATGCCAGCCAGCCCTGCCCCCTGGTGGGCTGAGCTGGCCACACACACACACACACACACACACACACAATAAATAAATGCTAACAAAAAATTTAAAAAAAAAATTCGTGGTGATTCCCATGCCTCAGCCTACAGTACTGAGATTACATGAGCATGCCATCATACCCAGTCTTCTTTTAGGATTTTGATACAATGAACCTTTTATTTTAATTACCCCCATAGCAAGTCATATGCATTTCTACTTCTTAGAAGTAGTATGCCAGAACTGGTGAAAAGAAACTATCACATTTCCATAAAGTTACATAGAAGTTGTAAAATCAATTTACAAAAGTAAAAATTAGAATACAAATCTAATTTCTAAACTTCGGTTTTAGAACTAAGGAGCAGAATATCAAGCTAGTGGATGACCTTTTCAAAACAAATATTAGGTTTTATCAGCTAATGGAAACACTACAGGCAGAACCTTTTAAAAGACCACCCCACATGTATAGCACAATTTAAATTGCGAGTTCCCACAGGAATTACTATCATTTACAAAAACTTTACCCTCTAGTGGAAGCTACATGCATGCTGTAATCTATAAATGCTTGCAGATAGTGACATCAATGAACACCAACTGGTACACTGATAAATTAGGACCCAAGTATAGAAATAGATACTTTTAGCACTTACCTTTTGTGCTTACTGTGCCATTTTCAACAAAAGCTTGAACATGAATATCCCAATAGTTATGGACAACACCATTCGTTTCATAAGTAAACAAACTATTGCATCTAAAGATGTCATTCAGTGGAATGCTGAACATCACAGGTTTATGAACAGTAACAAGTCCTACAAAACAAGATTAACAATGGCTGTTTCCAAGAGGGTAGGAAAAGGTGATAATATAAATAAATGTATAAGCTCTCTTTCCCTGCCTGCTCCATGCCCAAAGTGACAATGAATATAACATCCTGAGAACCACAAATTCATTCTGGTTGAAGCACAGAGAGCAGGGAGGAAGAAGCAAAAGAAATTAAGGCGAGAAGATGAATTGTGTCTGGTTTTGCTTGTAAGCATCTTCTATCACCTAAGCATTATATGGCTTTGTTACCAAAGGAGGGGCCAGCTTCAATTTTTTTATTTTCATCAGTACACGTTTACAGTACAGAATGATCTAATTCCTCATGAGGAGTTGGCACATGTGCGTAACACATCTTCATTCTTTTTCTTCTCCCTCCACCCCATTAGATTCAAGCTTCAAAGTAGAAAATAAGACTAGCTATAGGACTCGTTTTAAGGAAGATATTAAATAGGCACACAAGAAAACTTTTCTTTTTTTTTGGCAGAAACGGGGATTGAACTCAGGTCCTTGAGCTTGCCAGGGAAGTGGTTATTCCACTGAGCCATCTCTCTGGCCCCCAAAAAACTTTTTTTAAATGTATTTGGTTGTTACAGGGTCTCACTACACAGCTCGGACTCCTAGTGATCCTCTTGCTTTCAGCCTCCCCAGAGCTGGGATTACAGGCATGCCTCACCACACCCAGACTCTGGCCAGCTGAGCCCACCCTGGGGTGGGGGGCTCAGCATGTGATGCCAGGGATCAAACTGTGGTCTCTGTGCTTGCTTGAGCTTGCCTAAGGCAAGCTTTCATCTGCTGAGCTATCTCGCCCTGAAGAAAACTGTTAAGGGATGCCATCTAAGAAGAAAACCAGTTAGAAGGCCAGTGGTAGGGCTCCCAATGAAAGGTGAGAGGTGTGCGCCTGCACTGAGATGGGGAGGACAACAGGAAAAAAAAAGTGAGGAGGGCAAAATGAAAATACCAAAGTTAGAATAAACAGGAACCAGTGACTATGAATAGGAGAAGAAAGAGTGATAAAGTAATCTCTGATTTTATAGAAGTTTTTTGGGGGGTTTTGGGTTTTTTTTTGGCTACTTCAGGCTGCCTTAAGGGGAGGTATGGTACAGCTTCTGGAGCTGGGAATGGAACCACGGTCATCCACCCCAGCCTGCATTTACCCAAGCATCACTTTAAACAACTGAGCTATCCTGCAAAGCCCTGAAAACTTTTTTTTTGTTTAGTTTTGGTTTTTTGGTGGTACTGGGGATTTGAACTCAGGACCTTGCACTTGCCAGGCAAGCACTTATTCTACTGAGCTATCTCCCTGGCCCTTGCTGACTTTATAGTAAATCCTTATTTTTATACTACTGTCAAAAGTAAATTACAAGAGCCTGCAAGATAGCTCAGCGGACTAAGCCCCTGCTTATGAAAGTGCAGTAACCAAGGTTCAATCCCAACAACCACGTGCAGTGTCAGTGCCGCCCCTGGGGCGTGCTGAGCCAGTGACTGAGTCTGAGCCTGGTGGCACATGCCTGTAATCCCAGCACTGAGGATGATGAAGCCAGGAGGATCACCTGAGTCTGAGCTGCGTAGTGAAACCCTGCATCAAATACATTAAAAAAAGAGAGACAAAATAAATTACATCAACTCTAATGAGCTTACAGGATCTCTGCCTAGATGGAATTTAGAAGACTATTCCATTCCACAAAATCTTCAGACGGCAAAAGAGATTGCAGCCAATCTGCAACAAGTTGTGATTAAAATTCAGATAGGGAAACTTCAAAGGACTATGATCACGTGGATCAAAATGGTTTAGTTTCTTTTTGAAGTAGCAAGAAAGGAAGATATTTTCAAAGTCATTAACACAGGCTTCCTCCTGTGCCTGAGTCAAGTAGCAAGACAGCCATTTAATGCTACCTTGGCACACCCTAATGGTCAAACACATTCTTTTATTCTAATTATATATTTGTTCTTTTTCTTTTTTTCCTTCTTTCTTTTTGACACAGGGTCTTGCTATGTAGCCCAGGATGGCCTCAAACTCCTGGAGAGCCTCCTGCCTCAGTCTGCTGAGTGCTGAGATTCCAAGAGCATACCCCCATGCCCAGCTCAAAGGAATTCTTCTAAACCCATGAACTAGAACATTTTCCTAAAACTATTTCTCACTGTTAACAAAAATGGATACAGAAATTGGCTAAATATAGAAAGACCTCGGTTACCTAGTCTGCGCGGCCTAAGCCTGTGTGGATATGGCTTGCGCAGCCGCCCGCTCCCCGGCAGACCAAGACAGGTTTATTTGTATCTACCCCGCTTATTTAAATAATAAGAAAACCATTGCAGAGGGGAGGCGGATCCCAATAAGTAAGGCTGTTGAAAATCCTACAGCTACCGAGATTCAAGATGTATGCTCAGCAGTTGGACTTAATGCAGTTATCGAGAAAAAT